GGAGAGGGGTGTGTGGGGGGAGGGGTGTGTGTGTGGGGTGTGTGGGGGGTGTGGGGGGGAGGGGGTGTGTGGGGGGGAGAGGGGGTGTGGGGGGGGTGTGGGGGTGTGGGGGGAGGGGGGTGTGGGGGGGTGTGGGGGTGTGGGGGGGAGAGGGGGTGTGTGGGGGGGGGGGGTGTGGGGGGGAGAGGAGGAGCAGTATTATTCTGTTTGATGTCGAGGGAAACGGAAGGAAGTTGCAGATTAATCGGGAGGAGCGGCTTCAGGGGCGGGAACGGGGCCGCGCGGGGAGAGGGAGGGGGGGGGGTGTGGGGGGGGGTGTGTGGGGGGGGGGTGGGGGGGGGGTGTGTGTGTGGGGGGGTGTGTGGGGGGGCTGTGTGTGGGAGGGGGGCTGTCTGTGTGGGGGGGGCTGTGTGTGGGAGGGGGGCTGTGTGGGGGGGGCTGTGTGTGTGTGGGGGGCTGTGTGTGGGGGGGGGGCTGTGTGTGGGAGGGGGCTGTGTGTGGGGGGGGGGGCTGTGTGTGTGTGGGGGCTTGTGTGTGGGGGGGCTGTGTGTGGGAGGGGGCTGTGTGTGGGGGGGGGGGGGCTGTGTGTGGGGGGGCTGTGTGTGTGTGGGGGGCTGTGTGTGGGGGGGGGGCTGTGTGTGGAGGGGCTGTGTGTGGGGGGGGGGCTGTGTGTGTGGGGGGCTGTGTGTGGGGGGGGGCTGTGTGTGGAGGGGGCTGTGTGTGGGGGGGGCTGCTGTGTGTGTGGGGGGCTGTGTGTGGGGGGGGGCTGTGTGTGGGAGGGGCTGTGTGTGGGGGGGGGTTGTGTGTGGGAGGGGGGCTGTGTGTGGGGGGGGGGGGGCTGTGTGTGGGGGGGCTGTGTGTGGGGGGGGCTGTGGGGGTGTGTGGGGGGGCTGTGTGTGGGGGGGGCTGTGTGTGGGGGGGGGCTGTGTGTGGGGGGGGGCTGTGTGTGTGTGGGGGGGCTGTGTGTGGGGGGGGGCTGTGTGTGTGGGGGGGCTGTGTGTGGGGGGGCTGTGTGTGGGGGGGGCTGTGTGTGGGGGGGGCTGTGTGGGGGGGGGGCTGTGTGTGGGGGGGGGCTGTGTGTGGGGGGGGGTGTGGTGGGGGGGGGCTGTGGGGGGGGCTGTGTGTGGGGGGGGCTGTGTGTGTGGGGGGGGGGCTGTGTGTGGGGGGGGGCTGTGTGTGTGGTGTGGGGGGGGAGGCTGTGGTGTGTGTGGGGGGGGGCTGTGTGTGGTGTGTGGGGGGGGGCTGTGTGTGTGTGGGGGGGCCTGTGTGTGTGTGTATGTGTGTGTGGGGGGGGGCTGTGTGTGGGGGGGGGCTGTGTGTGTGGTGTGTGTGTGTTGGGGGTGGGGGCTGTGTGTGTGGTGTGTGTGTGGGGGGGGCTGTGTGTGTGTGTGGGGGGGGCTGTGTGTGTGGGGGGGCTGTGTGTGTGTGTGTGTGGGGGGGCTGTGTGTGTGTGGGGGGGGGGGGCTGTGTGTGTGTGGGGGGGGGGTGTGTGGTGGGGGGGGGGGTGGTGTGGTGGGGGGGGGGCTGTGTGGTGGGGGGGGGCTGTGTGTGGTGGGGGGGGCTGTGTGTGGTGGGGGGGGGTGTGTGTGGTGGGGGGGGCTGTGTGTGTGGTGGGGGGGGCTGTGTGTGTGGGGGGGGGCTGTGTGTTGGTGGGGGGGGCTGTGTGTGGGGGGGGGGGGTGGGTGGGGGGGTGGTGGGGGGGGGGTGTGGGGTGGTGTGGGGGGGGGCTGTGTGTGTGGTGGGGGGGCTGTGTGTGGTGGGGGGGGGGCTGTGTGTGTGGTGGGGGGGTGGGCTGTGTGTGGTGGTGGGGGGGCTGTGTGTGTGGTGGGGGGGGGGCTGTGTGTGTGGTGGGGGGGGGGCTGTGTGTGGTGGTGGGGGGGCTGTGTGTGTGGGGGGGGGGCTGTGTGTGTGGGGGGGGGCTGTGTGTGTGGTGGGGGGGGTGGGCTGTGTGTGGTGGTGGGGGGGGGCTGTGTGTGTGGTGGGGGGGGCTGTGTGTGGTGGTGGGGGGGGCTGTGTGTGTTGGGGGGGGTGCTGTGTGTGGTGGGGGGGGGGGCTGTGTGTGTGGTGGGGGGGGCTGTGTGTGGTGGGGGGGGGGCTGTGTGTGTGGTGGGGTGGGCTGTGTGTGGTGGGGGGGGGGGGCTGTGTGTGTGGGGGGGGGCTGTGTGTGGTGGTGGGGGGGGCTGTGTGGGGTGGGGGGGGGTGCTGTGTGTGGTGGGGGGGGGGCTGTGTGGTGGGGGGGGGGGCTGTGTGTGGTGGGGGGGGGGGCTGTGTGTGTGGTGGGGGGTGGGCTGTGTGTGGTGGGGGGGGTGACCATGTTAAAACCATTTGTCCGGGAGCCGGGACTTAACTCAAAACTAATGAAGCTGAGGGGTGAGAGGTTGTGTGTGTGTGTGTGAGGGCTGTATGTGTGTCAGGCTGTGTGTGTGTGCGTGTCAGGCTGTGTGTGTGCGTGTGTCAGGCTGTGTGTGTGCGCGTGTCAGGCTGTGTGTGCGCGTGTCAGGCTGTGTGTGTGCGTGTCAGGCTGTGTGTGTGTGCGCGTGTCAGGCTGTGTGTGTGCGCGTGTCAGGCTGTGTGTGCGCTTGTCAGGCTGTGTGTGCGCATGTCAGGCTGTGTGTGTGCGCGTGTCAGGCTGTGTGTGTGCGCGCGTGTCAGACTGTGAACCTGCGTTTCAGGCTGTGTGTGCGCATGTCAGGCTGTGTGTGTGCGCATGTCAGACTGTGCGCCTGCGTTTCAGGCTGTGTGTGTGCGCATGTCAGGCTGTGCGCCTGCGTGTCAGGCCTTGTGCGTGCGTGTCAGGCTCTTCCGCTGTTAAGTGCACAGGGACGCTACCCTGCGTGAGGGGCATAATATAAATGCAAGTTGTTGTTGCTCCACATCCCCGCCCCACCATTGTCGGTCTGGCCTTCAGCCACTCTGCCCCCACCCTCTGGAACTCCATCCCACAGTCCCTTCGCCTCGCGCCCTCCCTTCATCTCCTTCGGGCGCTTCTCAAGACCCTCCTCTTCGAACGCACTTTGGTCACCCTCCTACTCCTACCCTCCACCCCTCCTGATCCCACCCCCCAGCACGGGTCCAAATCTCTGACTGTGCAGCACCTTGGGACGTCCTCCTGACGTGAAGGAGTGTAACTGGTTCTTCTTGTTGACTGAGTTAGGTTTGTTTTTTGCAAAACGCAGCTGAAGTGATTTGCGTTTGGTGGCTGTGAGATTGTTGATGTGAGGCCACTTGTCATAAAGGAATCTTTAGGAAGAGGAATCTCTTTTTTCACAAGAATTCAAAGCGGAAAAATGTATTGAGCCAAATGATGGCACCCACAGAACTCGCTCACACCCAATGAGTTTGTTTGGGATAAATTTTAAAATGAAAATCTTTCTAAATTTGTACCTTGTGTAACAGGCTGGCTCCATGGCTTGGTTTCTTCTCTCTGAGTCAGGAGATTGTGGGTTTAGGACAGTCTAAGCTGATGCTCCATTGCAGTGCTGGGGGGTTTTGCTCTGTCGTTAAACCGAGGACCCATCTGCCTGTTTAGGTGGACGTTAGAAGTTTCCACGGTACTGTTCAAAAAGAGAAGGGAGTTTCTTTCTCTCTCTCGCTCTCCCAGTGTCCTGACCAACAATTCCCCCAAATAAAATCGGTCACTCACTCCATGGCTGTTTTGGTACATTCCTGTCTGCAACTGGCTGCCACGTTTCACCCACAAACGACACAGTCACTACACATTGCAGTAAATCCTGTGAAGGAAGCACTTTGAGACATTGTGATGACGTGATAAGTATTGTTCCTTTTATCAGGAAGAACTCTGGCCTTTTAAGTGTTGTGGGTGAGTAATAATAATAATAATAATCCTTGCATTTGATATAGCGCTTTTCACGTCTTCTCGACGTCTCAAAGCGCTTCACAGAATAGACTGTAAAGTGAATTGACTATATTTGTGGGCGAACGCGGCAGCCAATTGCGCACAACAATGTCCCACAAACAGTCATGGATTGAAAATGACCAATTTATTATTGTTTTTATTTTGGAGGATTATTATTAGGCTCTGTGTGGAGTAAGGAAACTTGCCCAAGGTTTCGCCCTCTGCCTGGAATTGAACTCAGGTCTCAGGTTGGGGCAATGTGTTGGTGGTGTGAGAATGTAACTGGCTTGGGGAAGGTGAGTGTTTTTTTACAAAATATATATATTGATTTGTTGATATATATTTGTGCTCGTCTCAGACAGTATCAAACCTGTTACATAAAAGATAACACACAAGTTATTATCCCATTGCAGGACATAACAGACCCGGCCCCTTGTGGCGGAAATGGGGGGTGGGCAGTAGCGCACTCCACTTTGCTGAAGGGAGCAAGGCTTCCCCGCCTCAGGGTTTTGACACCCTTTGCTGGGCGGGGTTACCTAGTGAGTGCGCCCTGATGCCCCCCTTCCCCCTGGTAGGGATGTGAGCGCAGCTAACGCAAGAGCAGTTGTGGCTGGGGTCAGGCCCAATTTGGTCTTTGCCGCGCCTGAGCCGAGCTTCAGCGTGTCCCTCAGTACGTAGCCCCTGATCCTAGCGCGTGTGAGCCTGAGGAGGGTGAATGGTAACTGACGAGGAGATTCACTCATTGGAATGGATCCACAGTGTGCAGCTCCTGTGTATTTGGTTTGTGTATCTCTCCGCATGGCCATGGTAACTTGCTGAGACATTGGGATGTGATGGGTCTTTGTGATTGGTCTTTATTCATGGAGTCCTGGAGCTCAGTGGTTAGAGCACTCACCTCGCAAGTCAGAGGACCTGAGTTTGATTCCCGGGCAGGCCGAAATGTTGGGCACGTTTCCTCACTCCACACACACGCCTCTGTTTACCAGCAGTAAGTAGGAACCTGGTTGTTAGTTGATTGGCGGATCGCTTTTCTGGCGGTAATAAACAGAGAGAGAGAGAGTGACGGTCCTCTCTCTCCACTCCTCCATATTTTCTCTGGCCCAATACTCAGTCAGTGAGTGTGTCATGTGTACAGGTCAGTGTGTGGAGGGTGTGGAGATCATAGAATCAGAATAGTTCAGCACAAAAAGCTGAGTCAATTCTGACGGAATCAGACTGCCTGTGGGTGTGGGTGGGGTGAGCAGTATTGTTTGGAGTCAAGAGACTGAGGAAGCCGCAGCAACTGTATGTTAAACTAGTTTTTCTTTATCTTCCGATTCACAAAGGAGAAGTGAGTGTGTGCGTGTGTATGTGTCTGTGTGTGTGTGGGGTGGGGGGTTTGATCAGATCAGGGCTCTGTCCTTAGTCCCCTCCTCTTCAATATCTATATGCTCCTTCTTGGTGACATCATCCGCAGACAGGGTGTGGATGACACCCAACTCTACCTCTCTGCCTCCAGCCTTGACTCCAGGACCCGCTGCTGTGCTGACAGAATGTCTGTCAGACATCAAGCCCTGGATGAGAGCTAACTTTCTTTAGTTGAACGTCTTGATTGGCTCCCGGCATCACCATCCATGGTTGCACACCCACCTTACTAAGCCAGTCCGGAACCTTGGCATCTTGTTTGACCCTCAACTATCCTTTCTACTCCACATCTGCGTAATGACCCGCTCTGCCTTCCCCACCTCCGCAACATTGCCCGGCTTCACCACTGTCTCACACTGCAGGCCGCCGAAATCTTCACACACCCCTTCATTACATAGAGGCTCGACTCTGCAAACTCATTGCTTGTCGGCCTCCCCAACTCCTCCCTCCACAGGCTGCAGATCATCCAGAATTCTGCAGCCCATGTCCTCTCCCACACCAGGCTCAGTGACCCTATCGCCTCCATCCTTGCCCAACTCCACTGGCTTCCCATCATACATTTATGGCTTTGCTGCCCCCGACCTCTCTGACCTACTAACTCCCTACCATTCTGCTCACTTCCTCCACTCAGCAGGATCTGGCCTGCTTTACGTCCCCCGCCGCGCTCGCCCCAATATTGGTGGGCGGGCCTTCTGCCAATCTGTCCCCACCCTCTGGAACTCCATCCCGCAGTCCCACCATTTCGCCCCCTCTCTCGCCACCTTCAGGACCCACGTCAAGACCCTCTTCGACCGTGTTTCGATCCCCTGCTCCCCCCCCGCCCTCCACCTTCCCCGACCGCCAGCTCAGGTCCATAACTCTCGGTTCAGCGCCTTGGGACGTCCTCCCGACATGAAAGGCTCTTTACACATGTAATTTTGTTACTGTGTGTGTGTGTGGATGTGTTTGTATGTGTGTGTGTGTGTGAGGAGATGGATTTGGTATGTGTGTCAGTGATGGGTTCCTGTTTTTCGAAGATGGCTGACTGTGTTTGTGTGTGTGTGTGCATGCGTGTGTAGGGGGGTGGGCGCTGGGGCTGTGGAGGTGAAGGGAGGTGTATGACACAGGCTGTTGTGTGTTTGGGGGGGGTGAGGGGCTGGGCTATGGGGGTGAAGTGGGTGTATAACAGTTAGTGACGGGCTGCTGTTTGCAGATGGCCGACTGTGTGACCAAGGTGCAGCTGACGGTGTCCTGCGAGAGTTTGATGGACAAAGATGTTGGTTCAAAGTCAGACCCCATGTGTGTGCTGCAGCAGAGCCTCGGTGAGGACCAGTGGACAGAGGTGAGGATCGGAGCGCCACTGCTAACTGCTGCTCAATGACTGGACACTGTTTGCTCCTGGGAGTGCTGATTCCCCCCCCCCCCCCGAGTTAGGTGCAGACTGCGGGGGGTGGGTCCCAGTGAGAGACCACGGACCCTCCTTCCCCTCTTTTAGATCACGACCAAAGACTTTCCTCTTCGGCCATGCTTACAGTCACCTCCTCCCTCCCTCCCCCCCACCATGGCATCAAGATCCGCCACTGTTAAGCGTGCGGGGCGCTGTGTAAATGCCAGTCGCTGCTGTTGTTGGCTGTGTGCAGGTGTTGACTCCGCCCTCTCATAGATGGACCGCACGGAGAGAGTGAAAAACTGTGAGAAGCCGGAATTCGCCAAAAAGCTGTTGGTGGATTATTTCTTCGAGCGAGTCCAGAAACTGAAACTGGGAATTTACGACATCGACAATAAATCCACGTCCCTGAACGATGACGATTATCTCGGAGGAGTGGAGTGCACACTCGGCCAGGTATCCCTCCCTCCCCTCCCCCGAGACATTATCCCCACACCGCCCCCAGCCCTCTAGGGGCACATTGGGCTTATTGGTCAGGTTGGTGCTGAAAGGGTGAAGGCAGGGTCAGGGGTGGGGATGAGGAGTGGATAGGTGGGGGCACAGGGAAGGCTGGCATTAAGGGGGGCAAGCGGCCACTGACCGGGGGGGTAGGGGCACGAAGCTGGCACAGGGAAAGGGGAATTGAGACAGTGGGGAGGAGGTGTGGGCACTCGGGGGCGGGAGGGGAGAACACACAGGGAGACTGGCATATGGGGGATGGGGAAGGTGAGATGGGGGGAGGGTGTGTGGGCGAGCGGGGGTGGTGGTGGGGGGGAGTGAGCCTGGTAATAATGTTACTGTTTTTGAAGATTGTCTCCAGTAAAACATTCACACGACCTCTGGAGCTGAAGAAAGGGAAGCTGGCGGGGAAAGGCAGGATCACGGTGAGTGAGGAAACCAGCCTCCAAATAACAACCCAAATACCCGCCATCACTCGGCCGAGACATCCATTTAAGGGAAGGATCTAAAGGCTGGTCCCAGTCTCTGGTGTTTTGGAAGTGAAGTGAGAATTGGTGACCCCTGTGGGAGGAGTGGGATATCCTGGGGTGTCTGGTATCTGAACCCTGACACTGGATGTTTTGCCTTTTGTGACGCTCGGGGCCAGATCCCTGTAATCTTGGGGTTTATTGAGAGCGTTTGTGTGTTTAATGAGTCAGTTTAGCGCTGGCCGTTGGCTGAGTGCTGCAAAGTGTGACCCAGAATCAGACAGATTGTTACGTCATGAAGAGGCCATTGGGCCCATCATGTTCTCGGGATCTTTAACTTCCACTTGAACCGGCAGACGGGACCTCAGTTTAACGTCTCATCTGAAGGAGGGATCTGACATTCTGTAGAAGCCTGTATCAGGTCTCCTCTGACCCTCACTGCTCCAGTGTAAACAGTCCAAGTCTGACAGCGTCAGGGACTCAAACACTGAAGCAATGTTTTCATTATTGTAGATCGTCGCTGAAGAAATCCACGATAAACGCACGGCAGCGTTTCAGATGGAAGCCAGGAAACTAGAGAATAAGGTGTGTATCTTACTGGGGCGACATTCCGAGACTAATACTGAATAAACAGTAGCTACTGGTGTGTCAGTAACTGTGAGATTCTTGTCAGCGATTACTTTATATTAATATAACAATAATCTGGCATTTGATATAGCATCATATCATGTCTTCGAGACATCTCAAAGCGCTTCACAGGATATACTGTAAAGTGAATTGACTGTATATTTTGTGGGTGAAACGCGGCAGCCAATTGCGTACAGCAGCGTCCCACAAACGGTCATGGATTGAGTGACACAATTATTACAATTATTTATCTTTTTGAAGGGATTCTTATCCCTGGAAAAGCAATTCACCAATGAACTAACAACCAGGTTCCTATTTACTGCTGGGTAAACCGAGGTGTGTGGAATAAGGAAACTTGCCCAACATTTCGCCCTGCCCAGGAATTGAGCCCAGGTGTCTCGCTTGCGAGATGAGTGCTCTAACCACTGAGCTACAGGACTCCACTCTGTGCTGAGAGCTGTTAGACCAGAGGCTCAGCACTAACCTGCCCCAGTAGGGTAAACCGAGGGTAATCGGCAGCTGAAGTGGGAAATGGTGGTTGAAACTGAGGATCTGGGCTGGGGGGATGGGCGGGGGAGACCATGTAGGTTGAAGAGCTTTCTTTTATCCAAACTCTTTTGTGTGATCTTGTGAATGATTTTATTTTATATACAATTTGTTGAAATTAAATGTTTTCAAATGAAATTCATAACAAGTTGTTCTCAAGACCCTCCTCTTCAGCTGGCCCATTGGTCATCCCCCTGCTCCTATCGTCCCTGTCCTCCATCCCTCTCAATCCCATACCCCAGCTCAGAGGCAAACCCTTAACTGTCCAGCGTCTTGGCACTTCCTCCTGACATGAATGGCGCTGTGTAAATGTCATTTATTGTTGTTGTTGAAATTAAATGTTTTCTTGTTTGACAGGATTTTATGGGCAAATCGGATCCATTCCTGGAGATCTTCAGACAGGGGGACGACGGCTCTTGGCAGCTGGCTTACCGTTCCGAGGTAACGAGAAGCATCTGGTCTGAGCTACGCGCTCGGCCATGTCACTAGGTGACAGAGGGACAACCTCACGGTGACAGAGACTCAGACCCCACAGCTTATAGCAGCCTCTCCTGTGTTTGCAGGTCATCAAGAATAATCTGAACCCGAACTGGAAGAGTTTCTCGGTCTCGCTGCAGTCGCTGTGTCACGGGGATGTGCAGAAACCTGTTAAGGTGCTGTATCCACGCGCTCGCTCCTGAGCTGCCCATCACATCCAAGGCTGATCATCCCGCATCCATTATATCCCGCGGAGCTCACGCAATGTTGTTTTTAAAAAAAAGCTGATGGGTGATTGACGAGAGATGGATTGAGTGACAGAAGGCTGGAGACACCATGTGGTCACCATGTGCCTCTCACCATGTGCCTCTCCTGTCCCCGGCTGCCCCTCTCATTCCCAGTTTGTTTCACACTCAGGTCTCTTGCAGCGATGATGATGACAACTCCTCCTCCGACCTGATCGGGGAGTTCGTGGTTGAAGTTCAGGAGCTATTGGGAGCGAAAGAGCAAGTGGTGAGGCCTGAATCTCTGTGGCTGTCTAACTCCCTCTGTTGGCTGCCTTCTCCCCCTGCAGGTCACCTGCTTGGACTATGATGGTGATGGCTCTCATGATCTGATAGGCGCTTTTGAAACTGACTTGTCTAAACTGCAGCAAGTGGAAGGCGGCTCTCCGGTGAGCTGTGTTTATTATTCCCTCTGATTGACGGTGCCCTTTGGGTGATGTTTCTCTGCTCCCAACACTGAGTGGGATTCACATTCGCCAACAAAAACAACAAAAAATCACATTACACACTGGCTTTCACGTCGGGAGGACATCTCAAAGCGCTTCACAGGATATATTGTAAAGTGTATTTTATGGGTGAAACGCGGCAGTCAATTGTGCACAGCAGTGTCCCACAAACAGGCATGGATTGAGTGACCAGAGTTTATCTTTTGAGGGATTATTACCCCCCCCCACCCCGGAAAGCAATCCGCCAATCAACTAACAACCAGGTTCCTACTTACCTCAGGCAAGTTTCTTTACTCCACATTCCTCTGTTACCTAGGTAACTAGTTTAACTAATTTAATAAGTTTAACAGACGTGTGGAGTAAGGAGACTTGGCTGAGGTTTCACTGGGTATGAAACTTCAAATCTTCAGCTTTAAGTCAAGCCTCGAGTTTATTCTTTCCCTTTTTTCACTTAACAACTGAACACAAGTAATGGGGGAGTTTGTCTGGTTTAAATCTGTGCTCTTCAGCTATTTGTTTTTCGCTTCCCCCCCCCCCCTTCCCTCCTCAGATGGAGTTTGACTTCATTAATCCTGAAAAGAAGAAAAAGAAAAGTTATAAAAACTCTGGGATTCTGCGTGTGAAATCCTGTAAGGTAATCACTCACATCAGTGCCACTCAACTGTGTGTTCATCACATGTGATTGGGGTACACACACACTGCCTCCCCCCACACACACACACACTGCCTCCCCCCACACACACACACACTGCCTCCCCCCACACACACACACTGCCTCCCCCCACACACACACACTGCCTCCCCCCACACACACACACTGCCTCCCCCCACACACACACACACTGCCTCCCCCCCACACACACACACAGCCTCCCCCACACACACACACTCAGCCTCCCCCACACACACACACTGCCTCCCCCCACACACACACACTGCCTCCCCACACACACACACACTGCCTCCCCCACACACACACACTGCCTCCCCCCACACACACACACTGCCTCCCCCCACACACACACACTGCCTCCCCCCACACACACACACTGCCTCCCCCCACACACACACACTGCCTCTGGCCTCTACACACACCCTCCACCCTGCCTATCCCCCAGCGCACACACATACACTGTACACACTGCTTCCGCGCCCCCCCCCACACCCTATTAGCCCCTCATGCTAGTGCCCCAGACCATGACCCCCCCCAGTGACACTGATACCATCTCGGGTTGTGTTTTATTTACAGATTGAAACGGAATACTCCTTCCTCGATTACGTGATGGGCGGATGTCAGATCAACTTCACTGTGAGTTTCCTTTCACATAGATCTGGGGGCATCTCTGTACCCTGGGGTAGCTGTGCAGCAAGACAGCGGCAACAGCCCCCAGTCACGCTCCTCCTCTCCCCTGCGCCCCCTCCCACTCCTTCGCCTCTAGAACCTGTGCGTCTTTGCCATTTTACCTCCACCTGAACAGGCAACATATTGTCTGCTGGGGTTTGAGGCTCTTTGCTGCGGGGGTGGTGGGGGGTTTGGGGTGAGCAGCCCCCCCCCCCCCACCCTGGGGCTCGCACACACACTGGAGAGAATCATAACCTGCCCAGCCCACCTCTCCCCGTCCACCTCTCCCCACCCTGCCTATCCCCGTCCACCTCTCCCCACCCTGCCTATCCCCGTCCACCTCTCCCCACCCTGCCTATCCCCGTCCACCTCTCCCCACCCTGCCTATCCCCGTCCACCTCTCCCCACCCTGCCTATCCCTGCCCACCTCTCCCCACCTCTCCCCACCCTGCCTATCCCAGCCCACCTCTCCCCACCCTGCCTATCCCAGCCCACCCCCCCCCCCCCCCCCCCCCCCCTGCCCACCTCTCCCCACCTCTCCCCACCCTGCCTATCCCCGTCCACCTCTCCCCACCCTGCCTATCCCTGCCCACCTCTCCCCACCCTGCCTATCCCAGCCCACCTCTCCCCACCCTGCCTATCCCAGCCCACCTCTCCCCACCCTGCCTATCCCTGCCCACCTCTCCCCACCCTGCCCACCTCTCCCCACCTCTCCCCACCCTGCCTATCCCTGCCCACCTCTCCCCACCCTCCCACCTCTCCCCACCCTGCCTATCCCCGTCCACCTCTCCCCACCCTGCCCACCTCTCCCTACCTCTCCCCACCCTGCTTATCCCAGCCCACCTATCCCCGTCCACCTCTCCCCACCTCTTCCCCGCCCAGCCTCTGCCCTGCCTCTCCCCGCTCTGCCCTGCCCCGCCCGGCCTCTGCCCTGCCTCTCCCCGCTCTGCCCTGCCCCGCCCGGCCTCCGCCCTGCCTCTCCCCGCTCTGCCCTGCCTCTCCCCGCTCTGCCCTGCCCCGCCCGGCCTCCGCCCTGCCTCTCCCCGCTCTGCCCTGCCTCTCCCCGGCTCGTCTTGCTGGTAACTCTCTGTGATTCTCTCTCCTGCAGGTTGGTGTTGACTTCACCGGCTCCAATGGAGATCCTCGCTCCCCAGACTCCCTCCATTACATCAGTCCCAATGGCATGAATGAATATCTGTCTGCAATCTGGTCAGTCGGGCAAGTGGTGCAAGATTATGATACGTAAGTGATTTCACCCCCACGTCCCACCCTGCCCCCCCTCTCCCGCTGCTCAGCGCCATCCTCCCTCACCCTCTTCCTCGCTCACTGTCTACTGTGTTTCCTTCACAGAGACAAGCTGTTCCCTGCATTTGGATTTGGAGCTCTGGTCCCTCCTGATGGGAAGGTGAGTTACTGAGTTTTCAGTGAAGCATGTTCTATGGTCCCAGCCCCTCCTTCCCCCCCCACGGCCCCTCCGGTGTGGGCTGGGTGTAATGTCCGCAATGGGTGCCCGCTGGAGAGCTGGGGAGGCTTTAACAACCATTTTCTAGTCTCTTCTGTAAATGTCATTGTCTCTGCTTCCTCAGGTTTCCCACGAATTCTCCTTGAATTTCAACCCCACCAACCCCTATTGCCAAGGTACTGTGTGCGCCTGTGCGTGCGAGTGCCCGTGCGTGCGAGTGCCCGTGCGTGCAAGTGCCCGTGCGTGCGTGGGAGAGCCTCTGTGCGTGCGTGCCAGTGCCTGTGTGTGCCTGCGCGTGCGTGTGCCTGTGCATGTGTGCCTGTGCGCGCGTCCATATGTGTGGTCGCCAGTGCCTTTTCTCTTGGTCAGGCTGGCTCAGCGGCTTGCACACACTTGCCCTGGCTCCTGTGCTAGGGTTGGGTTTGAAGTGACTGTGTGTGTTGGAGGTGAAGTGACTGTGTGTTCTGTGCAGGTGTCCAGGGAGTTATTGACGCATATCGTAATGCGCTGGTCAATGTGAAGCTTTACGGCCCAACCAACTTCTCCCCCATCATCAGCCATGTCTCCAGGTTTGCTGCTGCTGCCGCTCAGCAGCCGACAGCCACAGTGAGTACTGGTCGAGTGACGGTGGGGGCTGCAGTGTGACCCAGATTGTAGCTGTGTGTCTGTGCTGTGTGTGCGCCTGCTCTGTGTGCGCGCCCGTGCTGTATGCGCGCCAGCGCTGTGCACCCCAGCGCTATGTACGCCCGCACTGTGTACGCGTCCGCGCTCTGTACACGCCCCCGTGCTATGTGCGCGGTGCTGTGTGTGCGCTCGCGGTGCTGTGTGTGTGCGTGTGCGCATTGGGTGTGTGCGCGTACATGCACGCGGGTGGTGCTGTGTGTATGCGTGCACGTACGGTGCTGTGTGTGTGTGCGCGTGCGTGCGCGTGGTGCTGTGTGTGCGTGTGAGCGCTGACCTGTCCTCTGGCACAGCAATACTTTGTGTTGCTGATCATCACTGACGGGGAGATCACAGACCTGGACCAGACCCGCAACGCCATCGTGGCTGCCTCACGGCTGCCAATGTCCATCATCATTGTGGGGGTGGGCAGCGCTGACTTCAAGGCCATGGAGTTCCTGGACGGGGACGAGGGGGTCCTCAAGTCACTGACAGGGGAGCCCGTCGCTCGCGACATCGTCCAGTTCGTGCCTTTCCAGAAGTTTCAGAACGTGAGTGGATTGTTGTGTGGGGTGTGGGGGAGGGTGGAAAGGGGCGAGGGGGAAGGAGGAGAGAGGCATGTGTGGGGGGAGGTGGGGAAGAGGGGTGAGGAGGGGATGTGGTGGGAGGGAGAAGGGCTGGGGTGGGAGGAGGAGAGGGTGGAGTCGGGGGGGGGGGGGCGGCAGTGGTGGGAGTTGGAGGAGAGAGGGAGGGCAGGGCCAGTGGGGGGAGGAGGGGGCGATGAGATCTGGCTGATGATGTGCTGCTCTGTGTGTGTTTGTATCTCAGGCTCCCAAGGAGGCTCTGGCCCAGACCGTTTTGGCCGAAGTCCCCAAACAGCTGGTGTCGTATTACAAACTACGGAACCTTCCACCCCCCAACTCCCCACAGTCCAACAAGTAACCCCCCTCCCGCACTGCCACCCTGCCCCCCCCCCCACTGCCCAACCCCCGTGCCCCCCGCTCAATATAATGCCAAACCACTTAGAGTTCAGGACCAATCCGCCCTCTGGTGTGGTCAGTGCCGCACCTGGCAATGCTACGGCTTGTGTTTCACTGGCGCTTGGCTCTCCATTGCTGCTCTCTTTGCCTTGTTGAAGCTTTCCCTTGTGTAATGTGTAAAAGTGCCTAACTCACCGCGCACATAAACAGCTTCCAATCAAGTTCTATGTGTAGATTAAGCTGCTCGACACCATCGTGATCCCCGTCCACAAACCTTTGTCTCAAATATAATGTACTGTCGGAGGCAACAGTTTGTGTACTTTTGATTTTTATTCCTCTTATTCCCTCTTATGTCTCACTCACACCCACATGAACACACAAATACATCCACCCACACCCACCCACACACACCCACCAAAGCACACGCACACCCACCCACACACACACCCATCAAACCACACATCCACACACCCACCAACCCACACACCCAACCAGATGCCCACTCACCAACCCACCCACCCACATGCCACCATCCCACACACACACACATGCACACACCCACGGCCTCTATTCAACATGACATTAATGGTTAAGTCACTAACTACCCAGGTTGGTTGTTTCTTGGGGTTGGTTTACTGCTCTTTACATTGTATTAACATTTCCCGGTAATTAACAGTAAATGTCTGGTCTGCACTGACTGCTCTGAGCTGAGGGAATCCTCAGTCGGTGGGCGCTGTGCCTGTCGCCTGTTGATTATCACCTCAAGCTGTCAGTCAGTGCGTCACATCCTGTAAAGTGCTGTGGGATGGGGGCTGTTAGGAGGTTGTGGTGGGATAGCTGATGGCTGCATCATTGTTACCCTCCTCTCCTTGCCCCCCTCCTCATGTCCCCCTCCACCCCCATGTCCCCCCTCCCCCCCATGTCCCCCCCTCCCCCCTGTCCCCCCTCCCCCCCCATGTCCCCCCCTCCCCCCCATGTCCCCCCCTCCCCCCATGTCCCCCCCCCCCCCATGTCCCCCCCCCATTTCCCCCCTCCCCCTGCCGATTCTAAAATCCGAGATTAAAGAGGCAGGAATCTTAGACTTCAGTCTGATTTCACGGGTTGGAATATAACTTTTCGGTAGCTTTTATATTTTGACACTTGACTTTAAATAAAGAAATTAAAGTAAAGCAGTGTCTGGTTTCAGTGGCTTTATTCCCTGCAGTGTTACTGCCTCCAAGCCCAGGGTCAAGGTGAGGAATAATACATAATAATAATACATACATTTACACAGCGCCTTTCGCATCAGGAGGACATTGCGAGACGCTGGACAGTCTGATCTTCACCCGAGCTGATGGTTGGGATCAGGAGGGGTGGAGGACAGGAAGGGTAGGGATAAGGGTGATCTAAGGCACGGTTGAAGTGGAGGGTCTTGGGACAGGTTTTGAATAATAATATTTCCATTTGATACAGCGCCTTATCACGTCGTTGCGACGTCTCAAAGCGTTTGACAGGATATACTGCAAAGTGAATATGGGTGAAATGTGACAGCTAATTGTGCACAGCAGTCAGTGTCCCACAAACAGTCTTGGATTGTGTTTGTTTGGAGAGTTGCTTGGTCAAGTTTCCTTACTTCATTCTCGCCATCAGTTGGGAACCTGGCTGCCTATCCTCCATCCCTCGCTCCCTATCCTCCATCCCTCGCTCCCTTCCTCACTGGGGCTGCTGACAATTCAAACATGTTGGGTGTTGAGGGCGGAGGTTCTCTGAGAGCCACGAGGAGGCAGTGCAGACCAGACCAGGACTAGTGGCCAGTGGATTACTGTCCCCACCACAAGAGCAAAAATAGTCATAGTCGAGCAGTAAATGGTACTAACACGGCCCACACCTGATCTTAGCCAACAGCCCGAGAGTGTGGGTCACTGATCTCAGCCACAGCACAGTGGGGAGGGCTACAACTACTCACTGCCCTGGGGGAGGGAGGGGCAAACCAGTCAGGGCTATGATCACAGACACTGCCATCTTCCCCACACCTCCCCTTATTGGCTGAACCTTCTCAGGATTCCTGCCGTACAAGAGCGTGAGATTAACCACACCGCTGTGTGCTGCCCACACGCACTGCCCCCCCATCCCATACCATGCCCTGTGCCCCCACACCCCACCCATCACGCCCCCACCCCCACTCCTGTTAACCCTGCAAGACAAAGCCCTACCCGGACAAGATGGACAAGTAGCAGGCAGACACCCAGCTGACCCCCCAAAAAAGTCTGTCTCTCACTCTATGTGCGAGTCTCTGCTTGGACCTGAATCTTTCACACTGGCCTCTTGTCAACAGCATATGACATCCTTTTTGAACACTGTGCTGGGAATGTGCATTATTTATACACCCACCTGCTATTTGTACATATTAGATCCCTCCAGTTAATCCCCTCCAGATTTTCACCTGTTAATAATGTCTGTGATATTTCTCCCTCAGGAAGCCACAGGCCGACACAGCGACCAGGATTTAGCTGTGAGAAGAGCCTGATATATATATATATATATATATATATAAATAAAATATATATAAAAATAATGTGGTTACTCAATCTACGACTGTTTGTGGGACACAAACTCTCAAGCAGTGAGAGGCACGGGACAGCAATAAAGACCCCTCCCTCCCCCCACTCGGCCTATGGACACTGTGATTCTCACACCTTTCTGGCCAAAGTATTATAATAATAATAATCCTTGCATTTGATATAGCACTTTTTACGTCTTCTCGACATCTCAAAGCCCTTCACAGAATAGACTGTAAAGTGAATTGACTGTATATTTGTGGGCGAACGCGGCAGCCAATTGCGCACAGCAATGTCCCACAAACAGTTGTAGATTGAAAATGACCATTTTATTATTGTTTTGGTGTCTGGAGTAAGGAAACTTGCCCAAGGTTTTGCCCTGCCTGCAATTGAACCCATGTGTCGCTTGCAAGGCGAGTGCTCTAACCACTGAGCTACAGGACTCCTGTATTACATGGCCTGTGACACTAGTTTGTCTTTAAAATTTCAGATGCAAAAACTGAGTGGATCTTATATTCAGTGTTAATTTGAAGCCATTTTTCGGCATTTTTTTAAAGAAAGAAACTTTAATAACATCCAAAATTAAGCCTAATGGAAGAATTGCTCGCGGTTCTGCTGAGATTCCACTCTGCCTCTGCCTTTACCTGCAGGCCGCCGAGACACTGATCTCCTCTTTCACCGCGTTCCGACTTGACTATGCCAACTGCCTGCTCGCTGGGCTTCCCAACACTTCCCTCCACAAGCTGCAGATTATTCAAAGCTCTGCAGCTCGTGTCCTCTCCCGCATTAGGTCCCCCAAACCAATCACCACCGTTCTTGTCCGGCTCCACTGGACCCCCATCCATCAGAGAATCGAGTACAAAACCCTTGTTCTCACCTTCAAAGCCCTCCACGGCTTTGCACCCCTCTACCTCCTAATCTCACATCAGCCTGCCCGCTTCCTCCGCTCAGCAGACACCGGCTGCTTCAGGTCTCCCGCACTTCCCACCCCACCACTGGTGGTCGGGCATTCGACATCTCTGCCCCCACACTGTGGAACTCTATCCCGCAAGCCCTCTGCTTCACCCCTCTCTTGCCTCCTTCAAGTCCCGTCTAAAGACCTTCCTCTTCGACCGTGCCTTCAGCCACCCTCCAACACCCACCCCCCACCCCCTGCACTTCACCCCTCCTGACCCCAACTCCCAGCTCGGGTCCAAAAACCCCTGACTGTCCATCGCCCTGGGATGTCTTTCTGATGTGATGGCTGCTATACAAATGTAATTTGTTGTTGTTTCTCCTCTAGCCCCCACACCGTCTTGTGCAGCGTTCCTCAGGGCTCTGTCCTTGTCCCCTTCTCTTCAAAATTGACATGCCCCCTCTTGGTGACATCATCCAAAGACATGGCGTCAACTTCCACATGTATGCGGATGACACCCAACTCTATCTTTCTGCCTCCATCCTCGACTTCAGGACCCACTGCTGTCCAGACAGACTGCCTGTTGGACATCAAGTTCTGGATGAAAACAAACATTATTATTATTGTTATTATTATCCTTGCATTTGATATAGTATCCTCCAGTTGAATGTCAACATGACCAAGGCCCTCCTGCTTGGCTCCGTCACCCGTCATGGATGCACTATAAACCTTATGGAGCCAATACTGAACCTCAGGGTCCTGTTCGACCCTCAAATGTCCTTCATTCCCCACATCCCTACCATGACCCGCTCTGCCTTTCCCCACCATTGCTCGGCTCCGCCACATGCCTCACACCGCAAGCCACCAAGACCCTCATCCACGCATTCATTACATTAAGGGTCGACTACACAAACTTCCTGCTTGTCGGCCTCCCCAACTCCTCCCTCCACAGGCTGCAGATCATCCAGAAATAACTCTGCAGCCCGTGTCCTCTCCCACACAAGGCTCCATGACCCTATCACCCCCATCCTCGCCCGGCTCCACTGGCTTCCCATCACACAGAGGATACAGTTCAAGATCCTGGTCCACATCTTTAACTCCCTTCACGGTCTTTAACCTCCCTCTTCCTTGCATTTGATATAACATTTTATCACTTTCCGCCAATTGACTGACAGCCGACTTCTTAGTTACTGCTGGTAAACAAAGGCGTGTGATGTAAGGAAACTTGCCTAATGTTTTGCCCTGCCCGGAATCAAATCCAGGTCCTCTCACTTGTGAGGCGAGTGCTCTAACCACTGAGCTACAGGACTCTACAAAGAAATGTCGTCTCTGTGGTCACCAGTGTCAGTCCGCCTGGTCTTGTGCCCCCTCCACCACCATCACCCGACTGTCTCAGTGGCTGCTATCTCAGGCAAAAACCTTTGAACTGATTCCAATAATTTCTCGTTAATAAACCAGCTCTGATCAAAAATGATAGGCTCTCTCTGTGCCTCCAACATTATCTCCTATCCCTCCCCTGTGAAGCTATGAGGCAGCGACAGCATCTGACCAGTTGACGATTTGGGGCCTGGTTTTGGTTGTGGAAACAGGTCACTTGGGGGTGGCGGGGGGGGGGGGGGGGGTGGCAGGGCAACCTACATGCCTGTTTGTGGAACATGATTCAGTTTAATTATAATAATAATAATCCTTGCATTTGATATAGCTCCTTATCGCATCCTGGAGACGTCTCAAAGTGCTTCACAGAATATATTATAAAATGTAGTGGCTGTATATTTTGTGGGCGAAATGTGGCAGCCATTTGCGCACAGGACGTCCCACAAACACCCGTGAATGAGTCACCAATTTTGTAACGTTGGGTGATTGTTGGCCAGGACCCAGGGAGAGAGAAATTCCATTAATGTGGCTGAGGTTGTGTGTGTTGTGTGTGTGGGGGAACCTGTAGCTCACAAAAATAAAGAGGGCAATTGTTGACCC